AGGGGGGTTGGGGAAGGAGGAGGAGACAGGTTTGTGACCCATGTGCTTGTTGCCGTGTTTTCCGTAGATGGAGAGTGTGGGCGCTAGAGATCTGATCTGGTTGTCATGGCAACTAGAGAAAGAAGACGGCGGAGGTAGGGGAAGATCTACCGATCCAGAGGTTGGAGACGACAACGGACGGTGGCAATGCGGTTCGAACGCGGGTAGGGCCAATGGGCGAGAGAGGTTGTGCGGGCAGCGGGGTCGCTCGCCCGGACGTGTGGGCGATCGCGCTACACACCAGACGTGCGGGCTGTGGCTGGGAGCGCCCGGACGCCGTCGTGCGGGCGATCCGTGTCTGTGCCACACGGGGCGTGCGTCACACCCTCTAGATGTTACACGTGTGGTGGATATCGCCGTCCGTTATTATTGGGGAAGATATATATGGAATAAAGTTTTTAACTAGAGATGATTCACGGTTGAGAAACCGATTTTCCCGGAAACCAGAAAGAGCAAGAGCAAACTGAGCGGACTCCTCGGTCGGCAAGTCCATGACCAAAGCCCAACAAGGGCGAAGACCACTGTTGTGACTTGCCATTCTCTTTCGTCTTTCTTCCCCCTTTCCCCACTCGACGCACCCTCGCCGTCAAGTCTAGGGTTTAGCGGAGCCTGCAGCCGTCTCCCGGCACCACCCGAGCCGCCCATGGACGTCGACTCCGAACCGTCCGCCGAGAGCAAGCCCGCCCAGATGGACCTCGAGGACCAGGCAAGCCGCCGCCGCCGAACTTATTATCTCGGGGATTTTTCCTTCTTTTTTGGGGTTTTGAATGCGATTTTCCGTGCGCAGGCGGACGCGAAGGGGAAGGGGAAGGCCGATGCCGCGGAGGAGGAGAAAGGAAAGGGGAAGGGGAAGGGCGACGAACTCGCGGACTCCATCGGGAGTCTATCTATCGGCCCGGGGCGCGCCAACTTCAAGAAGAAGCCGGTGATCATCCTCGTCATCGGCATGGCCGGTGCGTCGATTTCGTTTGCCCTATTCAATTGCCATTTTAGCAGGACGGATGGCCGACCGAACCTGTGATATGTGGAGCTTTTATTAAGAGATTTTGGGATTGGAAGCTTACTCTGTTTTGTCCTACAATGTAGGGACTGGGAAGACCACCTTCATGCATCGTCTGGTGTGTCATATGCAGGCATCGGCGAACATGAGGGGTTATGTGCTCAACCTTGACCCTGCGGTGATGACACTGCCATTCGGAGCCAACATTGATATCCGTGATACCGTGCGCTACAAGGAGGTGATGAAAGAGTACGGACTTGGTCCCAATGGTGGCATTCTTACCTCACTCAACCTGTTCTCAACCAAGTTTGATGAGGTACGCATCTTATATGCATCTTGAATGTTTAGAATGGTAATGTGCACTATTTATGTACTCTGTTAGGCTATAAAATTCAAGGCAGTACAAACTTACAACCATGCAGTCAAACCGGGTTGTTTCATTATTTTTGCGGGTAATTGATTCATGTAATTTTTCCATCATTCAATGTAAACTGTTGCATAATTGTGCTTAATTTATAGTACAATGCAGAGTTCATAGAAATTTATTTGATTCTACTCTAAATAGTGACAACTTTTTGCGAAATTGTATGCTACATTAATGGTATGTGAGACATCTTTTCCCCCTCTATTATTGTGCCATTCAGCTAATATATGTCCAATATTCATCCTTGCAGGTTATATCTGTTATTGAAAAGCGAGCAGACCAGCTGGATTATGTGCTGGTGGACACCCCAGGGCAGATTGAAATCTTTACTTGGTCGGCTTCAGGAGCTATCATAACTGAAGCTTTTGCATCAACATTTCCAACAGTTGTTGCATATGTGGTTGACACCCCCAGGTCGACAAGCCCTGTGACCTTTATGAGCAACATGATGTATGCATGCAGTATCCTCTACAAGACCCGTTTGCCTCTGGTGCTGACATTTAATAAGGTTGATGTAGCCAAGCACGAGTTTGCTCTTGAGGTAAGTACACCCCTGAGATGATTTCAATTTCACTGTTCTTGATCCTGTACACTAATATTGTATTTAGCTACTATCATGTACTCCCTCCGTTCCTAAATATTTGTCTTTCTAGAGATTTCAACAAGTGACTACATACGAAGTAAAATGAGTGAATCTACATTCTAAAATATGTCTACATACATCCGTATATTATAGTCCATTTAAATGTCTAGAAAGACAAATATTTAGGAACGGAGGGAGTATTCACATTGTGTGTAACATTTGATTATGTGCACTGGTTCTCTTTTTGGTATACTTTTGTTGTCAATATGTAACATTTGAGCTGCCATGCTGAGCCGTATGATTTAGGTTTATTGAACATCTATATTAATCGACAATACACAAACAGGGTTTTGTCCATGATGTTTCTTCAATTTAGTTCTTGGTTTCCTTTTCTTTTCTTCAAATTTTGGTAACTTGGCCTTCATTTATTTGCTGGACCAGTGGATGCAAGATTTTGAAGCATTTCAGACAGCTTTGGATTCCGACTCATCGTACACATCTTCATTTACCCGGAGTCTCTCTCTTGTGTTGGACGAATTCTACAACAACCTACGCTCTGTTGGAGTATCGGCGGTATCTGGCACTGGAATTGATGCATTTTTTGAAGCTATAGAAGCAAGCACTAATGAATACATGGAGACTTACAGGTCTGTCTGTTATCATATAGTTCTACAATTCCTGAATGAATTGTTGATACTAAAAACTAAAGAACTTATTAGTTGCTATCATCTAACAATTTTATCAGGGCTGATCTTGACAAGAGGATTGCTGAAAAGGAGAGACTAGAAGCTGAGCGTAGGAATGAGAACATGGAAAGATTGAGGAGAGATATGGAGAAGTCCAAAGGACAAACTGTGGTGCTCAGCACTGGTTTGAAGGACAAAACTCCTGCCTCAGAGATGATGGGGGACGCGGATGAGGAGGAAGAAGAGGAGGCGTTGGAGGATTTCAGGATTTCCGAGGATGATGATGATGAAGATGAAGGAGAAGATGATGAAGTGACTCATTTTGGCTTTTAAGGTATTTTAGCACTTCTCTGTTTATAATGTGCTCTGAAGGTGTTCTCATTAGTTGAATATCTATTACTGTCAGGATAATGGGCATCATCTTAACATGCATTGTTGATTCCGGTAATTAATGTGACATAACCATGAATTTTTTTGGGGCGCGTGTAAAGGTATATGCTGTTTTCTCAAGGGATATAGAATATTCAATATACAGATTCACACTCCATGTGTAGTTATATTTTGTAAAATTGAAGTCTGCATGAGGGTGGCATTGCATTGCTGTTATATGACCGGATTGAGATGGTTTTATTGTTGATAAGATCAGTAGATCACCAACTCAAGCTGTTAATTTTCTTGTCAATGTAAAGGTTCGTTGGTTCCATTCTGATCGTATTAAGCTTTGTCTTGACAGGTTGATTGAGTTGAACAGGGCGTTTACTGGAGGGTGTTCAGGAGGACCCGGTGGGGAGTGGTGTTTGTTTCCAGGTTATTACAGTGGAAATGAAATGCCATCGATATCACTAGGTGGATGACTGCCGTTAGTCTGTAAATCAACTCGCACTTTACCAAACTCGCTGCAATCTCATCGATGAACTGAACTGTATTCACTGGCTACGCTGTACGAATTGTCTCCTTGACTTGTTCTGCACACTTTTTTGAAAACAGCTGGAGCGGTAATTCGGTTACTTGCTTAGGCAAAGCCTCGGTTGGATTCCAAGAAGTTTAGCAATGCCCAGGCTTTCTTTTAAAAAAACATTTTACTCCTCGATAAAACCTGGGGGTGGGGGTTCTCATCAAACCGACAATACTATTGAATCCCCCCTTGGCCAGGCAAGGCATCAGCTGCCATGTTTGCTTCGCGCGCGGGCAATGTTCAAAGGTGATCTTACAAATTCAATCGTCATCCGGTAACAGTTCTCATACACTGCTGTAGCTATTCCGTAGGATCACCCCTCGATGCTGCAAGACTTCGGCTCTGCATGTTAGGACCAAGCAAGGCAGTCCATACATTTGAAATTCAAGGTACTTCATCCAAAAATTAAGTCCATATATTGGAAGTGCAGGCCTAGCGAGATTGTGAGCCTCGACATTCGAGGTCTAAACTCATCTATATCTATATCTATACCAATATAAAAAGAATCAAAGGGGCAGATCCAAATGATCTCGATCATCAAACTAAGTCAATCCAACAACCTAGACTGCTCGAATGGCGAGCGGTCAACGTGTTTAACGTGCAATGATATCATACCAAATATTGCACTAATCACAAAATTAACACACAAATAATATCATATCTAATATCCACGCGCAACTAATATATTGCCTAAGTATTAACATGCATTGCACGTGCCCATTTATTAGTGACTAAAAAAGCAAGAATTAAACAAACCAGCTCTATCTATGATTTCATCTATCATTGCTCCATACGGCGCCACGCTCCCTTCTTTGGTCGCTTCAATTACTATTTTGCGGTCCGATGCCACATCTATATTAGTGATGTATAAGTCCTCAGCCAGTGCTTTGTGTTTCTCTGATCACCAATGTTTCAAGTGTAGTAGCATTGTCGATATGATTATTCACCACTACCGACGCCCCTTGGTAAACTCTCGTCTGATTTCTGCACACAACCGCTATGACTCCTCTTCCTCCTGCCCGAAGAATTGCCACATCAACATTTATTTTGGCATGTCCATCCCTCGAGGGTAGCCAGTGCCTCGGTTTATGCAGAACTCTAATCTCACCCACGAAGTTGTTGATGAGTGAGTGTGTCGCAATCATTCAGAGTATAATCATCCTGTTGCATTGTCTCATTCATGGCAAAGAGCCACTTCTTGACGTCCATACTCTGGTTGGTGCACATGTGTTCTATTAAGTCGTCATTGGAGAGAGCCCAAACACTTCATGACATGCTGCAATTGAGTAGCGAGTGACGCCAATTGTCTGGCGCGCCACACAAGGCACAAACATGGGAGGTGGTTTGATTTCTGCACACAGCCGCTATGACTCGTCTTCCTCTTGCCGGAAGAATTGCCACATCAACATTTATTTTGGCGTGTCCATCCCTCGAGGGTAGCCAGTGCCTCGGTTTATGCAGAACTCTAATCTCATCCACGAAGTTGTCGATGAGTGAGTGTGTCGCAATCATTCGAGTATAATCATCGTGTTGCATTGTCTCATTCATGGCAAAGAGCCACTTCTTGGCGTCCATACTCCGGTTGGTGCACATGTGTTCTACTAAGTCGTCATTGGAGAGTGCCCAAACACTTCACGATATGCTGCAATTGAGTAGTGAGTGACGCCAATTGTCTGGCGTGCCACACAAGGCACAAACATGGGAGGTGGCCATGTTCCGGTGGCGAGGAACATCAGCAGTTGGTAATGAATGTTTGGCCAGCCTCCACGCGAAAATAGAGAGGATTTTTTAAGACAAGAAAATAGAGAGAGAATTTTTTTAGGATCATTTTTTTAAAAAACTTCTTTTTTCGAGGATCAAATAGAGAGAAATGGACTCGAAGTTATGATCGGTTCATCTCCAACATTGGCCCAGACGGCGAACCAACCTGTGGTTGGCTGGTTAGGTGGACGGTGGTATTTGTTAGGACATTATTTTCCCTGGTTTGTTTTGGTGATTGATGACAATACTTTTACGGACTAATCGTGTGCATTAAGCTTTTCAGATTATCTAATATAAGGGAATTATGCGATTGTTACCCCTCGAGGACTTCACTTTAGACGGATTATTTTCCCTCGTTTCTTTTTGGTGGAATTGAGTCGTAGGGATAACCGCACTATCAAGAGGGGATTCGTTTCTGAAGAGTATGGGTGGAATCATCACGTTCACACTCTCCTTGCACCCTCGCCTTCTTCCTGCTTCTTTGGAGTATTCGTGCTGTGCAAAACAAGGGGTGCTGGGTGCTAAGCGGTAGTACCGCGGTCAGGGTGGTAGTAACGCTTGTTAGTGCCGCCGGTACTACCGCCCCTGCTGTGGTCTCGATTTTTCGTGTCGGGTTTCCGTAAAGGACCACGCAGGGGAGCGGTAGTAGGGACGGCAGTAGGGCGCGGTAGTACCGCCTATTAGCGGTAGTACCGCTCCTACGTCCGCTCCAACTGCCGCTCAACTCGTTGCCCTCCTCTGTTTTCCAGCGGCTGTAGGGAGCGGCAATACCGCTTATCGGCGGTAGTACTGCCCACAGGGCGGTAGTACCGCCCTAATGCATGTACTTCTTCTCCCTTAGCCCTGGTTACCCTATGCCTGCTTACCACAACGGTAGTACCGCTGTGGCAGCGGTAATACCGCTCCGGCAATGGTAGTACCGCCCAGATGCGGGCTGCGGGCTGCATAACGGTTGGATGTGTCCCCCCACTATATAAAGGGGTCTTCTTCAAGAAGACCCACCTCTTCCATCCCCAAGCTCCATTGTTGTTCCAAGCTCCATTTTCACCCGATCTCTCTCCCTAGCCAATCAAACTTGTTGATTTTTTAGGGATTGGTTGAGTAGGCCCCGATCTACACTTCCACGAAGAGAAATTTGATTCCCCCTACTAATCCCTTGCGGATCTTGTTACTCTTGGGTGTTTGAGCACCCTAGACGGTTGAGGTCACCGCGGAGCCATATTCCATTGTGATGAAGCTTCGCGGTGTTGTTGGGAGCCTCCAATTAAGTTGTGGAGATTGCCCCAACCTTGTTTGTAAAGGTTCGGTCGCCGCCTCCAAGGGCACCAATAGTGGAATCATGACATCTCGCATTGTGTGAGGGCATGAGGAGAATACGGTGGCCCTAGTGGCTTCTTGGGGAGCATTGTGCCTCCACACCGCTCCAACGGAGACGTACTTCCCCTCAAAGGGAAGGAACTTCGGTAACACATCCTCGTTGAGGGAGTCCTGGACTAAGGGGTGTCCAGATAGCCGAACTATCATCATCCGCCGGACTCCAAGACTATGAAGATACAAGATTAAAGACTTCGTCCCGTGTCCGGATGGGACTTTCCTTGGCGTGGAAGGCAAGCTTGGCAATACGGATATGCAGATCTCCTACCATTGTAACCGACTCTGTGTAACCCTAGCCCTCTCCGGTGTCTATATAAACCGGAGGGTTTTTAGTCCGTAGGACACAATAACAACAATCATACCATAGGCTAGCTTCTAGGGTTTAGCCTCCTTGATCTCGTGGTAGATCCACACTTGTACTACCCATATCATCAATATCAATCAAGCAGGAGTAGGGTTTTACCTCCATCGAGAGGGCCCGAACCTGGGTAAAAACATCGTGTCCCTTGTCTCCTGTTACCATCCGCCTAGACGCACAGTTTGGGACCCCCTACCCGAGATCCGCCGGTTTTGACACCGACATTGGTGCTTTCATTGAGAGTTCCTCTGTGTCGTCACTGGTAGGCTTGATGGCTCCTTTGATCATCAACAACGACGCGGTCCAGGGTGAGACCTTTCTCCCCGGACAGATCTTCGTATTCGGTGGCTTTGCACTGCGGGCCAATTCGCTTGGCCATCTGGAGCAGGTTGAAAGCTACGCCCCTGGCCATCAGGTCAGATTTGGAAGTCTGAACTTCACGGCTGACATCCGCGGAGACTTGATCTTCGATGGATTCGAGCCATAGCCGAGCGCGCCGCACTGTCACGATGGGCATGATTTAGCTCTGCTGCCGGACAGTGCCCTGGAGGCCGCACACGAGTCCGCTCTGACCCTTGACTCGGAGCCGGCTGCGCAGATCGAGGATGGGTGGCTAGACATCGCCTCGGGGGCTGCTACCTCTACGGCGATGGAGCCGAATACTGACCTCGTCCGTTGTGAAGCTCGTGACTCCGAGGTGCCGGACTCCTCGCCGGACTCCGAACCTCCCGCGCCCCCTCCAATCGAATCCGATTGGGCGCCGATCATGGAGTTCACCGCTGTGGACATCTTTCAACACTCACCTTTTGGCGACATCTTGAATTCGCTAAAGTATCTCTCGTTATCAGGAGAGCCCTGGCCGAACTGCGGCCAGGATGGTCGAGA